TCCTATTTGTAATTGTGTGAGAGTTAAATTTAAAAAACAGCACATATGAATTTAGAACCACAGCCCCTAATGCTGCAGAAGACTTCAGAGAATACGAAGTATACAAGGATAAGAATATGATGGAGCAGTGTTAATACTCTATCAGGTTCCCTAAAGATGACTTTCATTGCTATAAGTCAGTCTTTTGGAAATAATCCTCCATATAGAGTGAAAATCCCTTTCAAATATTTTATAGTGCTGTTTATAACACAAAAAAACTAAGTTTGACTAATAACAGCTTATACTGGAGGAGAGGATAGAGACGAAACTGCAGTCGGAATGTAAGATAAATGAAAAGAATTAATTCATAAAAAAACCTGAGTTTGTATAAAGGCCCGTGTGGAAAAGCCACACTCATAGGATCCATAACTCAAAATTAGCAAAGACAAGATGTAAATTTTGACATAAGAAATTAAGTGCACCACTCAGTTTCAAAGTGATTTCCAAGAGTGATGCTATACTCCAGAGGCCCCAAAAAAGACTAAATTACAAAAATACAAATTAGATTAGCATCTATTTATTTCTTCCCTTTCTTTGAGACATATTCAGGTTTTATTTGTATGAAATTTTCTTGGCATTTTGTGGTTATTCATTGACACTTCTATCATCTCAATAGACTGAAAGCACTTTCTCTCTAAAACTGTACTTCTCCTTTGATCTTTCAAGTTTAACTGACATATAAAAACACCCATAACATTTTTGATACATGTATGCAGTGAGTGATATTAAAATGAAATCAGATGTATTTATCACATTAAGTCATCATCAATTCCTTATGGAGAAACTTTCGAAATATTTTTTAAACCTTTTGAAATACACAATGTACTGCTGTTATCTGTGGTTGTCCCTCTATGCTATCCAACACCAGGAGCTATTCCTATCTCACTGTGTTTAGCATCCACTGATTCCTCCCTCCACAATCCTCCTCATGCCCAACTGCGCTAGTTTAAATGAGAAAAAGTCTCCCACAGGCTCAAGTATTTGAACATTTGGTCCCCAAATAGTGATGTTGTTTGTAGAGATGTGTAGGAAGAGATCTTAGGGTCAGCGCTACAGGTACCTAAGATCTCTCCCTACAGAGATGGTTCAACTTTGCTGGTGGGCTAGCTTTGAGAGTTCATTGCCTTGCCCACTTCCAGTTTATTCTGCTCCCCTTTTACAATTGAATATGTAATCTCTTGGCTCCCTGTCCAAGCCACCTGCTACCATGCCTCCCCTGCCCAAGACATATGGACCCTCTCCCTGGAATTGTAAGTCCAAATAAACAATTCCATGAGCCTTTTTGGTCATGGTGTTTTCTCACAACAATGAAAAATAGCTAATACACCTCCTCTCCTGGGCTCTCCTAACCACCATTCTACTCTCATGGACTATCCCTAACTTCCACGAAAATGTATGGGATTATATAACCCTGATTTATTTAGTAAAGCAACCACCAAGTTAATTAAGGAGAGAGAGAAAGACAACTTTTCACTAGAGATCTATTTTAGTAACAAAAAATTCAGAATATATTTATTCCATTCTAAGTAGAATATTTTTATCATTGTACAAGATTAAGTTTTCTTTAACTTACCCAGTGTCATATGTTTTAAATACGTAACAAATGAAGTATGTTATCACTATTCTCACTCACAAAGTCTTATTATCTGGCTATCTTTCACCCCTAGCATTGCTTCACTTCAAACGCAAAGCCATCCAGCTGCCAGAGTTTTACCGTAAGTCAGAACAGTTGCAGATCTGAAACACCCCACCCTTTCTTTCCTCTAATGGGTCATAGTGCTGAAAATCTACAATACTTAATATGGCCTCAAAAAGCGCCTTAGCTTAATATTCCAGACACAACTACACAAATGATTAACTGAGAGGGAGGGTGATTTACCATATCAGGATCAATAATAAATCAGAAAATTCATCTCTTGAAGTCTATTCCCCATTTCCCAATCCAGCTCTGAGTGTGATGACTTTAGGATCAACAATACGTAGAAATTCAAAATTCATGAGCCATCACCTTTGTATTATTAGAGTATTAATAAAGGCTCACTAAGAAAAAAAACACTCCTCCTGGTTAAGAGAAAGCATCTCTGGGCTAGGTGGTGACATAACATTCTAGTTGGTCCAGACCAGTCACCTGTGCAAAGTACAACTTCTAGGCAGGTAGGCTCCTCTTAAGCCAATGTAGAGAGGTAGATGGAATCTTAGACCCCAGACTGATGGCTGAGAGGCCAGCATGGGACTGATCCAGACCCCCTGAATGGGTGTCAGTGAGGAGGCCTAGGCAATCTATGGGGCTTTAGGTAGTAGATCAGTATTTATCCCTGGCATACAAATGGACTTTGGGTGCCCATCCCACAATGAGGGATGCTCTCTCAGCCTGGAACGAAATGACAGACTCTAGAGATTCTCCCATGGAGGGCCTTACCCTCCCTGGGGAACGAGTGGGGATTGGGTGGAAGACTGGGAGAGCTGGTGGGGGGGAGCAGGCATGGAGGGGAGGGAGAGGGAGCTGGGATTGACATGTGAAGCAAGCTCGTTTCTAGTTTCAATATATAATAAAAAAATAAAGAAAGAGGTACATGGAGCATGCTTCCCTTTAACGAGACACTATTTTTTTCTTCCCGTGGATTCCTCCCCCCGCACAGTGTCCTACAGAGTGCATCCAGGTAGCAAAGCGTGGCTTCTCCTCTCCCTTCTATCTGTGCTCTAAGCACTTCCCTCAACACTTTGGGCATCCTTACTCCTTGCCATGTGTGTGCTTGTCTGCCACGTGTCTAACCTCCATGCTGGTTCAAAAAACAGCATGGTTTTCTTTTCTCTCTCTTCCCCATTATACCTCTCTGGGGGAGATTTACTGCTGACTGCCCCGAGGGTTTTTCTTTTAAACTCTAATAAAATTGTCTTCAAGATCCCACATGGATCCGTTCTTAAGTTCTTTTAGCAATAAGAGTAAGGCCCTTAAGAAGAGAAAAACCTTCCTCTGAAAAGATAATGCAGACAACTAGATAGTGCACCACCTAGAATCTTCTAAGGCATTGATACTCACCCTTTGTTAGCTCAAAAAATATGGAAGAAATATTTTTTTCAAGTCAAGAAAAGCACATCAAGTTTTCAAGACACCCTTGTCAATATACTTTTAAGTGTACAATAATATAGATAGGTATAGATTTCTTGAGAACACTTGCCTGAGCAAACTTTGGGTGACCAACAGGAAGCCAGGCTAAAAACACTGAACTTATGCAAATAGGTTTCTGATCCCCACATTCACGAGGCTTCTTCCCTCATGAATGTCAAGTAGAATATGCCAGAACAATAAAAACAAGTTCAGGCACAGAAAGCATTTTCATTTTCCATATAAAACAACATCTGCCTTTTCCCATGCTGACTCTGCAAGGCAGCTTATTTACAAATATATAAATAGCTGCAACTTTACTCCAGGCCCATTGAAAAATCAAAATGGCATCATGCAAGAGGAGCATCCTAGCATACTTGGCTCAGTGAGTGAAATGTAAGTGGAGATGAGCCAAGTGACTTGACACTCACTAGTCAGCTTAACCAGACACCCTTCAGTTTCCTGTCATGGAGGAACCCAGGGTTGTGCTCTGCAGAGCCAGAACATTCACTTTCATTGATTGTCCAGAGACTAGGGGATGATTTAGAGCCAAAGGTTGGAAGGCAAACTTCAATTCATTTATAATCCTGTGGACTCAAAGAGAGAATAACATCACCTAATAGTGGCAATACATTTAAAATCAGCTTATTCTGCTTTCATAAAAGTCCAGTGAGTTTAGAATGACTCACTCCAGTCAATCCTTTTCCCACATTGCCAGACTTACAGGGATTTAAATCAACAGGGAAAAAAGAAGCAATACATCTTAATATTTTAACAGAATATATTGCTTTTCCTAAATGCATTAAGAAATGTTGTCTACCAGGAGTTAGTTTTTCTCCCTCTTTCTCTCCTTCTCTTCTTCCTTCCCTCCCTCTCTCCCTCCCTCCACACACACACACACACACACACACACACACACACACACGTATCTTGCTTTTCCTTACAGCACATGCATAACCAAGCACGGAACTGCCGGGCTGCCCTCAGTGTCTGCTCATGAGGTCACCTGAACAGCTACACGTTATGGCACCTAGTGAAAGTACCACACATGGCAATCACTCCTTATGTATGCCTCCAATATCAAATTATGCTCTTCCTTAACATCTTTGTTTCTCATCGATGAATGGACAGAAGGATGCCGTTAAATTAAAGTCTTCCAAAGCATTGCTAAACAGGAAGTTTAAAAGAAACATTTCTAGAGGGGACAAGGAGTTATAAACTTGTCTGTGTGAAGAACCTGAGGATGGGAAGCAAGATGTGTGTCGAAATTGAGAGCATTCATGCATGCTGTAATCATTTTCACACAAAGACATCTATGCTGAGTGCTAAACCTAGGGGGACTATGGTGCTTTTCCATAGCAATGCATTTACACACAAGGATGTTCAAGTTTGATCCAAGGTATAAATGCCAAAAACACTAAACTGCAAAACAATTTCTTGTCACTTCAAGCTCTATTCAGAATATGGAAGAAGCACCCAAGGGTGAACTGTTATTCTAATTCATCATAAAACTGTATAGACATGAATAAATACAGTAGCGGTCTTTTGTCTCAGAATCTACATTGAGGCTTATGTTTCAAAGTTCACTTTTAAAGTCAGATATCAGTTATGTCTAATTCAAATGGTAATAAGACTACTCTTAAAATGTATTTAATTTTTAAAAGACTATTTCTTTGTGCATGTAAAAGTTTCATTGCAGAGTTTTATCGATAACGCATACATGTCGTATATTCCTTGCAGCATTGGGGAGGCACTATTTAGCTTTTACGTTTTTGAGTAAGAATTTGGAATATCCTTGGAAAACAACTTTTGAAGTATTGTTAAAATGAAAAAGAAAGCGAAGTAGTTTACTCACCTAGTGTCTCTGAGAAGAAGTGCACTTCCCAATTTGAAACAGGTTTTATCACCTTCGCAAAATGCACGCCTCAGAGCAAAGCTCTCTGCCAAATCAAAGCCTGGAAAATGTGACATGTTATTAAACCGAGGAGTAAACTCACAGACATAATTGGTTTTTAAGCAGGAGTTTGTTATCCAGATCCACAGATTGATTGATCTAAAGTAAAGTCTTTCTGTTTGAAATCAACACTCATGCTTGATTTCTTTTTTGCATATTTTCCTTTTAGAGTAGAGGAGAATTAAAATTCTCTTTGCCTGCAGAAGGCATAGCTATCTTTCTGAAGAATGGTTTGTAAACAGTTCTTTCTGGCTTTGCCTGGTCTGATTTCACAGCAGTACTCCCGCTTCAACCTCCCCAAGCCTACAAATGCAAGTGTGTACCACCATCCTTGCTTCTCACAGATTTTCAAGGGAATACAATATCAGTTTGCTTTAATTTAGGAATTGACCTAAGCAAAATGTTATGGTAGTTCATTGTACCATCTCTAAAGTATAAACAGAACATTAGCCAGAGTAAAAATAGTAGCTATTCTTCTCAAATCTAAACAGCCTCTAACAAAAGCACGTATCAAGAGAATTATGTGGATGTGGGGATGCTTGGAATTCAAGTGTAATATATATGTTATCATCATGTATATGTGAGAGAGTTGGAGAAAAACAGAAAGAAAATATGGAAAGGAAAGGGAAGGAGGAAAAGCAAAGTAGGAATTTTGACCGGGTTTCATAGCATATGCCTATGATAGATTTTGGAGGCTGAAGTAGAAGGATCCTGAGTTTGAGGCCAATCTGGACTATACAGGGATATCCTGTCAACAAACAAACAAGGAAACAGCAATAACAACGAGCAAGCAAAGGCAACATTCACAACAAAAGAAAATATAAACAATTTCTAATTAAAAAATCTAAAAAAAATAAAAAAAGTGTAAAATCTAAAAAAATATTACATCAGTATAGTATGTAAATTATGACTACATCTGGATGCTAAAACATCTTCTCAATAATATTATTTTCTCTTTTCAAAACTGCTGCAAAAGACACAGCATTTGTCATTTCACATGACTTTTGTTCTGCATCAAGGTGAGGTGCTATTACCCAATTGTTAAACAATATAGACAGTATTTCACCTGCAGCAATCGCTTCCCATTTCTATGTGGATGTTATGATCTTTTTTTTTTTTTTTTGGTTTTTACGAGACAGGGTTTCTCTGTATTGTTTCGGAGGCTATCGGTCCACCTGGCCTCGAACGCACAAAGATCCGCCTGCCTCTGCCTCCTGAGTGCTGGGATTAAAGGCGTGCGCCACCACCGCCTGGCTGGATGTTATGATCTTAACTTGTAAAACTGGCAAAGGAGCACTCAGGCACATTTAGGGAAGACGTCTCCAAGTCAAGAGAATAAAAATCTCTGGCTTGGTGGAGAACTAACATTCCATCTGGACAGTCAATGAGAAGGCTGCAGAGCCACCCTAGGACGGGGGATGCACTATAAACCGTACTAAAGAGATAGGGAAATCATTATTCCTTTAATGAGATAATGTACGTTACCCTCTCTGGATCCCCACTCCCCAGAGCAGTGCCTTAGAGGACTGTAACCACACAGTGTCCGTCCCTATGAATGGACACTTTGCACCGAGTGCTAATTAGCAAAGAACGCTTACCTGAAACTTGAAGTTTGTCTCTGTCATCTTGATGTCCCTCCATCCTCAGGATAGGGCAAGTTGTTTCTATTTAAAAAACAAGCATGACTTATGTGAGGTAAAATTTCCATCCTATTTTTTCCAAATAAAATTGAAAGCTACCATACAATCATAAACAAGATAAGAGTGAAAATAAAAATAAAACTGAAATATTTTATTAAATTTCTATGAAGTGGGGATGAGGATACCCATCCCACAGTATGACTATGAAGATTAATGTTTGTTCCTATAAAAGAATAAACTATTGCCGGGCAGTGGTGGTGCACGCCTTTAATCCCAGCACTGGAGAGACAGAGGCAGGCGGACCTCTGTGAGTTCGAGACCAGCCTGGTCTACAAGAGCTAGTTCTAGGACAGCCTCCAAAGCCACAGAGAAACCCTGTATCGAAAAACGAAAAAAAAAAAAAAAGAATAGAATATTGCCTGGCCCGTGGTGAGAACACAGCTGGCTGTTATTATCACTATTATTCAAACATCCACATGTTTCTGTATATTTGAATAGGAATCAGCTAGCTTTTACAGCATCATTAAACTCTCGAATGCAATGCATATTCTGTCAATTACACAAGTGAATTATTGCCATATTTTATCAGGTTGTCCTAAACCTTTATAAGAGCAGGGAACATGAGTAAAGCAAACTAAATAAAATTAGAAAGCAAAGACATTTCTGTATGATAAAATTTGAGGAAGTTAACACTTTATTAAATTTGTCCATAATACTCATGGATAAAGAGAAAGTCAATCTCTACTCAGTGAGCTTACATGTCCAATAAAACTACATTATACATTAGTTTTTGAAATAATATATTTAAATCTAATTTGAAATAATATATTTAAATCTAATTGAGATGATAACCACAAATGAAGTAATGCTGACAAAACTGCAACCCACATTTCAAAGTATGCCATTACGCCACAATATAGCTACACTCTTAAATGCATTAAACCTTTCGCATTATGTAATCACAAGTCCAATTCTCCACATCAAAAATTTATGTTTGAGTTTCATGTCTTAAATTTTATAGTGTAGAAAGGAAATAAGCTGCTTATGGCCAAACTGGACATCTGCTTGGCTGAAAGTGAAAGCGTCTAATTTTCCAGTTAACCTCTGAAAGCCTCAGTCCTTCATTTGACAAATATACTTCAGACCCAGAGTTGTGGCAAGGAATCAGCATAGCGTATTTAACTAGAAGTCTCAAGGTCTAAATAATGTTATCACATTATTTGTAAGTAAAAAGCAAATAATATTCTTTCTGAATGACAATTAAACTCCCAATTCCAACAGATCAGGGTGTGTGTGTGTGTGTGTGTGTGTGTGTGTGTGTGCTTGTGTGCATGCATTTTAACACTGACAAACTTATTCTCTAGTTTAAATGGAAAAGCAAAGAAACAAAAATAGCTAAAGGCAAAGGTGAATAATAACTTGGAGACAAACCATGAGATGTAAGGTATCCTCAAAAACTACAGCAATTCAGTGGGAAATAGAGGGTATTTTTAATCATTTGTGTCTGTTATTAGATATTGATAAAGGAAAAATTGATACAGGAGGAAATTATAAATGTGAAAAATAAAACATGAAAGAGGTTTGGTAAAGCATAAAGCTTTATAAACTTGGAGAAGCAAAGGATTTCATGAAAGAGACAAAGCATTACTGTCAAAAGAAAATATTGATAAATGGGGCTTAATTAAATTAAAGCACTTATTAATCAAAAGATCAGAAGTGTGAAAAGACAAGCTCGAGAATATAAGTTATTTATAACACATGCATCTTAAAGAGAGAAGGCAAACCACACATAAGGAGAAGCTATCTAATGAAGTATTGCATCCAGCACATACCCTGAGCTCCTACAAATGAGCAAAACGTGAGAAAGCTTATTTCTAATACACTCTAAACACTTTAAGCACTTCACAAAACAGAATATCCAAATTAGCAACCCACATATTCAAAGGGGTGCCACCTCATCAGTAATCAGAGATGTAGAAAAAACTACTGAGATTCCATTAAATGACCAAAATCAAAAAACTGTCATTCCAAGTGTTGGTGAGGATATGACAAATGGTTAACATTTTCAGCTCTTCTACATTGCATGTGATGGTGGCGAGTGGTGCAACCACCCGAGAAAACTGTTTGACAGTATTTACTGATGCTAATGATGCATGAACTCTAGTAAGAGAAACTCAATGGCCCAAGAGACGTGAAAACAAAACATGAATGTAAATGACCTTTCTAGATAAGATTGCCCGTGCTATCATTACTCATAGCGTTACAACCTACAAGTTCATCAACATGCTGGCAGAGAACATGCTACAGAACAACAATGAAAGAACTGGATAAGAGTACAAAATGATTTAGCTTGATATGGTGAAATGTTTGGATTTTGAGGTAAAATAAGTGGGGGAAGTGCCATCTCCCATAAATACATACTACCTATTCCAATTACGTGGTAATTATACAACCAATCTCTGTCACAGGAGCAATTAGCACCAAGGGGTACTACCTGGGAGAAAGTACACAGAAATCTTCTAGAATCCAGGATATATTTTATGATTTTATTTGAGTGATAATTGCATGAGTAAAAAATCAGGGTATTGTGCTTTTAACATTTACTTACTTTAGACTAAATAAGCAAAATCTCAACACAAGGAGAAAAACAGCAGCTCTCTTGAGAAAATATTTTAATCTAAAAACTGCTCTACATTTTAAATTATAACCAAGAAAATCTCAATAAAAATGTATATTGGCTATGAATGTCTCTATGGCACTATGCCACAAGAGGAACCTTGCATTTTTCATAACATAGGCACATAGGAGAAAGATGCAACCTGTGATTGGCAGAAGAAATCTCTGGGCAGTGGAAGGGCTTTCCTGCTGTGAGATTTTGGAAGGGAGGGATAGGTGTGTGGCCTCTTTCCAGTAGGAAACTATACATCTATCTCCTTTAAGTTCTACCTATCAACTATATGTTGATGTCAATGGAATAATCACACTGCTTTGAAACAAATGAGATCAACATTTCTGGCAATATTTATGTATTTCTCCACTAAAAGTATTTAGTTCTTAAAACATTAATGCCAATTCCTACCTTTAGAACACACACTTTGTTGTGAACAGCTGAACAAAACAAGTTAAAACTGTTTTTTAAGATTTAAGGTTCAATAAGACAAATCCATGAAGATTTATGAAATCATTGCAAAAAATGAAGAAAGAAGCAGTGGCGATGCCTATCCTAAGCTTAGATATGCTAATTAATTAACTTAAATATTGACATATACATTTTAATATAAAACAGTGGAAGTAACTAGCACGAGTTGGGCATGTTAGTTTATTCTAATACAGACATATAAACATACAAATGAATTTTAATATTAATGTACCTTTAGACTTATGCGTAAGATTCAAATATTGTCACAGGTAGAGAAGACCAAGCACAGCAATTCTGTCCCTCAAAGGCCCTCTGGAGTATTTCAGAGTAATGAATGTCGTCTTTCTAGGGAAAGCGCACTGCTTGCAGAACTCAACAGTTTTTCAAAGGCAAATAAAAGTAGTTTTAGCAAATGCATGCTAAAGTGTTAATGACTTAATTTCTTCTTTGTGTGGCTTGAAAGACCTGGGCCGTCTACAGGATTGGTGGGGTATTGAAAGGAGCAACAGGAAACAAAAGTGAAGTCATCTAGTTCAGCTTCACATATGTCATATGTCATGACTTCATCTCCATAGCATCTTTTAACTTTCTGATTCCGGGTCATCTGAACATGAGTCACCCTAGAGAAATAGGTCATGCAGCTACTCAGTGGAAAAGTAGAGAAAAACATACTTCTTGCAAATCAACTTTACTTGTTGACCATATCTCAAAAGCATATTTTAAACAAAATAATAACATACCTAAGAAACTCTTTTCATTCTTTAATATGTAGTTGTTCCCATCATCTGTTTTAGCTGTGTGTTTTAAAAATGAATCTATCACACACACACACTCACACACACACATACACACACACACACACACACATACACACACACACACACGAGATCCAATCTGTTGGTTCTAGTTCTGATTTTACCAGTAGGCATGGATTACTAGATCATCTTGGGACTAGTTCACTTCTTTTTTTTAAAGATATTTAAAAATACATGTGTATGTGTGAGAGTGTTTTTCCTGCATGTATGTATGTGTACCACATAAATGCAGTACTCGAGGCAGTCAGAAGAGGGCATGGATGTCATGGTACTAGAATCACAGGCTTGTTGTGAGCCTGATGTAGGTGCTAGGAATGGAATCCAGGTCCTCTGCAGGATCAGTTAGTGCTCTCTTAACAACTGAGCCATCTCTCCAGTCCCACAAAATATGTTTTTAATGATGTACAGAAACATTAAAAGTATACATGCTCTTTCCTGTCATCTAGAATTTCTATTCTGAATGTAAGTTTTCATTTTGTTATAGCAGTCACTAAAATACTTGACAGCATGTTGAACTGTCTTCTTTCATTTTTCTTTTCTTTTTTTTAAGTTTCCTCTTTCTTCTCATATCCAAGACTAGCTGAAATCTACTGTTTCAATTTTCTCTTTTCAATTGATTTAATATGTAAGCAGTTTGTGTTTGTTTGCTGATGGTCATGCCAAATAGGAGGCAGTAACCTTCGAGACTCTAGTTTAGGAAAAGCAGGAGGTGCATTCATTCTTGTATATACAAAGGTAAAGGGAAAATTGAGTTTTCAGAGCCATGAAGAGTAAAGGCCAGTATGTTCTTTAGACTTCTTGTAGTTTTCTGACTGGTCTTAGCATCACTTATAGAACACACACGTCACAAATAATAGGAAAAGAAAAAGTGTCGTTTGCTTAGTAAAGATATAATTTATGTCTTAACTTTGCTAAAATGCACATATCTGAGGCTGGAGAGATGACTCATCAGTTTAGAGGACCAGAGTTGTGTTCATAGCATCCATATGGTAGCTTACAGCCATCTAAAACTCCAGTTCCAGGAAATCCAACCCTGGTCTCTGAAATCTGCAGGCACCAGAGAGACACTC